TCCGAAGGGATAGGCAAGGAAGGAGAGGTGGTGGGGTGGCTCTGTAGGTTAGGGAGTGTTTTGATTGCATAGAAATAAATGATTGTGAGGACCAAGTAGAGTGCTTATGGGTAAGGATGAGGGGGAAGGCCAAGGAGGCAGATATCTTGCTGGGAGTCTGTTACAGACCACCCAAACAGGATGAAGAGGCAGATGAGACATCCTATGAGCGACTGGCAGAAGTCTCGCATTCGCTGGCTCTTGTTGTTGTGGGGGACTTCAATCTACAGGACATCTGCTGGAAGTATAACACGGCAGAGAGGAAACAATCTGGGAGGTTCCTGGAGTGTGTGGAAGATAACTTCCTAACACAGTTGGTGAGCGAGCCCAGCAGGGGAGGTGCCTTGCTTGACCTGCGGTTTACAAACAGAGAAGGACTGGTGGGAGATGTGATAGTCGGAGGCCATCTTGGGCTTAGCGACCACGACATGATAGAATTCTTCATTCTGAGAGAAGTACGGAGGGGAGGTCAGCAAAACTGCTACCATGGACTTCTGGAAGGCGGACTTCAGCCTGTTCAGGTCACTGGTTGAGAGAGTCCCTTGGGAGACTGTCCTGAAGGGCAAAGGGGACCAGGAAGGCTGGACAGTCTTTAAGAAGGAAATCTTAAAGGCACAGGAGCAAACAGTCTCCATGTGCCATAAGACAAGCTGACAGGGACAACAACAGGCCTGGCTGAACAGGGAGCTTTTGCTAGGACTCAGGGAAAAGAGTTGATCACCTTTGGAAGAAGGGGAAGGCAACTCACGAAGAGTACAAGGGTCTTGTTAGGTCAAGCAGAGACAAAATTAGAAAGGCAAAAGCCCAGCTAGAACTCGATCTGGCCACAGTCGTAAAGGATAAGAGAGGCAAGGAGAATCTCCATCCCTTACTGGATACGGTGTGGAATGCTGTCACCAAGGATAAGGACAAGACTGAGGTACTTATTGCCTTCTTCACCTCAGTCCTTAATAGCCAGACCAGGTATCCACAGGGTATTGAGCTCCCTGAGCTGGAAGGCAGGGATGGAGAGCACAATAAAGGCCTCGTAATCCAGCATGAAACAGTTAAGGACCTGCTAAGCCACC